ACCAAATTCTTGACAATAAACGTAACGGTTCTGTAATTAAAGTCATTAACAACTCTTCTGGTACAGCGGGTTAATGAGTGTGGTTTTACGCCACTTTTAGCAATATTCAAGCAATATCATGGCGGGGGAACACCAAAAATGGGCTTTACACATGGCAACCATGTGGGAAATCGAACCCAAGTCAACACATGACTCTTTAACTGCTAGGCTACGGCCCCACTCCCTTACAGTATAGTACAGTACCACACCATTTCGTTACTTTACAGGAACGTCGTCATATGAGCGAAATATTCTCAAGCACGACGTAAAACCCAATTTCACCTCACTTTACAGGACCCTGAATTTAATAGATAGGATTCTTACAAACCCCTAGTTTGGTTAGATAAGAGGAAAGCCAGATAAATTAAAAACTCAGACATACTATAAAAATGCATTTAGTTTTTTTGGCCAAAGATGGATCAGAGCAGTATTCAGAGATTGTAGGAAATACCACTGCAGTCAACATAGTGTGAAGGCGGGTTAGCAAAGTCTTGGTGATACAGGTTGATAATATGTGCATATTGGGATTAGTTTTCAGGATGAATATATATGACAGCAACTTGGCCTAGTGGTTACAAGAGGCAGCCCTAGCTACTGTCTACTGCAACACCGGCTGCACTTACCCGGACTCGACGCTCCGGACTCATCATCTGTGAGGGTGGTGGGAAGTGTAGGATATATAGGGTGGGTCAGGGGATAGGTAGTTAGGGTAGTGATGTGGGAGGGAAGGTCAAATAAAAAAGAAAAAGAAACAAATCTGTGAGTTTATGGTGAAAATATTACTACATGTTTGCAACAGTTTCCACTAGATTCACTGATGTCGCTTAGTTCTCACAAGAACAAATATTCTGAGAGTATAAACATTTATGAATTAACTAAAGCATTTATCCATGACATAAGCTTATGACATAAACACATGAATGTCATACCACAATGACATATATATATGCAAAACAGATAACAGAAGTGAGACTTTTTTTTCGCCAGTACAGATAGAGGTAAAATGTCACTGATAATTATTCTGATAGAATCCAATAACACAGAATCATTGTGTTATCGTTATTAAAGTTTTATTCTGAAAAACTCTGTTCAAGTATTTTTTCCATTGAATGAATAAGCCAAAATGCATCAAAGGTTTGTATAGTTTGGTTCACACAGCAACAGGAACCATGTATCACTGTACATGATATATACGTGAGATCACACCAAGTTTCTGATGCTGATTTTGATGCATTTTCTTTAAAGGGAAACAGTAATGTGGATGTGATGAATAGAATTAATCACTCTTGTTTTTGATACTGGAAATATTAACCTCATCCAGTTAATCAGCATTTGCAAAGGCTTGACAAATACTGATTAACAAGAAGACAAAGTCATCAATATCCCCCGCAATGGCAAAATACTCTTCATGAATATGTCTACGAGTTATGATTATGTCAAATGTTTTGGCGTGTATATAGCTAAGTGGAAGGAGAGTACTGAAAGGTTTCAAAGTTCTTCTCCAAAAAGGAGCACCACCACCAATTCAGTTGAAGCCAAAATTGTTGCCATGGAAACGCAAAAAAACCCATTTTATTCAGAAATCCAAAACTACCAAAAGGCACCAGTAGACCATCAGATCTATCTATGTGCCAAGTTAGGTGAAGAAATATTGAAAAGTTTTAGAGTTATGCTCCGGAAAAGTCAAACGTCCACGGATGCACGGACGGACGCACGCACGGAGTCCATTTTAATAACCCCCGCAAAACACGTTGCAGGGGATAACAAAGACTCAGTTGATATTTCCCATGTCAAAAGCACTTGTCACAAATCCTCGTTTAATTACAAGATGCTAATACATACAAGTGAATACAACGACATACAAAGTGATATTTGTTTCTGTGTCAAAACATAAACATGACATGATAAACGTGGGACAGACAATGCTGTAAATGTGACATGATTCAGGACTCTCTCAAGACATCCTGTGCCAAATACAATGTTGAGTGCTGTGGACCTGTCGGACAACATTCCAACATTGCAGGACATAAACTGTGATGATATTAGAGGTGCATTGTGGACAAACAATCAAAACATACCGCAATTTGTTCTTCCTTGCTTTTTCGTTTCTAATAAAGTTCACATCAAAATTAGGTTAAAAAGGATAAAACAATGAACATGATATTTTATCAAGTGGAAATGTTTCACATCAGAAATATATTCATCCCACATCTAAAGGCATTTTTGCAAAACAATGAACCCAGAAATGGTAATACTAAGAACAGCAAATTTGTGAATATGTCTTACTGGAGGTATCACCACCACCAACATTTCTTCTGAAATTTGTTTGACATTTAAGACAGTTTCTTCATATGACTGTGTAATGCAAACATGTATTAAGTACTTATGTCAGCTCATTAGTTAATGACTTCTCCTTTCGTTTTGTTGATGTTAATTTTTTGTGCGCAGAAATGGAAATTAATGTACACTTGCTGAACGCCTAAACACACATGGACTCCCACTTAAAAATTCTGGAATTGTACCAGCCCTTAGAATAGCTTTAGGATTATATAAATTAACTTGTGCGCTAATTTGCTTAAATGATTATTTGATTCAAACAATCATAATATAATCAATCTCGAAAATGTCTTCTGTCTTATTTGAAAGAATATTGAAATTAATACAAAATAACAGTCTTAAAATGAACTCTGTTTTAATTTTCATAATCAACATTAATGCTGTGGTGTGAAGATATAACACAAGAAGTTTCTCACCTCCTCGGGGTAGTCTGGGCTGGGGGGTTTGTCAGGGGTTAGCTCTACTGCTTCCTGGGTTTCGTCCATTGCCTTCATGGCTGTGTCTTGTCTAAATATAAACATGGGAAATGTTTCTAAGTCTACAAGACATATTTACATATTTAACATTTTACCAAACATTTTATCAGCACTATGGACGGACTACAATTTGACTTCATGTTCAACGAACATTTAACAAGGATGTTCTAAATTATTTTTTGGACAAGGCACTATCACAAGTTGCAGTCATATCAAATTAAACATCCACTGAAGATATATATATTTATTTCTTGGAAATGAACTTACAAGATCTGCATGAGTAAAGCTTGTTTGTGGTTTGCAAGTCTGAACTTCATCAGTTTACTATTTGCATATGGATCTTCTTTTGAGACCGCTGGTCGTTTGATTGGCGGTAGTCTTGGATATCCATCTGGGCCAATGCCGCCAATTTTGGTTCTCTGTCTGACCAGCCCAAGTCTCCCATTGACGGTTTCATCATCATTTGTAATGTCATTGGTATATCTGCCTGGGGATGCCATCTAAACACAACAAGAAAATACATTTAGTGTTTGTCTATTTGTTGCTTTATGGCAGTGGTCTGTAAATAATCAAGTATGGACCGACAATCTAGTGATCAATAGCATGAGCACTGATTTGTGCAATTGACATGTGTTAACCAAGTCAATGAGTCTGACCATACCATCCTGTTACTCGCCTATTACCACAAGCATGGTTGGTTGACAGCATTTCTAACTCAGATCATCACAGGTGACATTGAGTGAGGACAAGGAGTATGTATCTTACTGAGCAATATGGTGTTCACCATCATACATTTGAAAGTAACTGATATTAGGTAGTTTGTGTATGTCTGCATAGCATTCATAGTAAGGTATAAGAACTGTATCTCACTTGGGTCAACAGAACAACTGGCATTTTGGTTCTGAGTTAACTGAATGCCTCCATTAAATATATTTCTTTAAAATAGAAATTAATTTAGGTTGAATTTTTTTATAAGTGTGATTTATTTCATCGCTGTTACATAAATAATAGTTTCAATTTCGAAAATACAAGATTTTATTTTGCGTATAGCTTTTGGTTTGCATATTTTGAAAGATTAACATCTCATGTACACATTGAAGTTGTATTTTTCTCCCAGCAACTGTGACCTAGGAGTCATGAGCTGCAAGGAACCCTCTAACATGCTTGTACCTGGCTGTATTTGCATTGTATCGCCTGTATAATGCACAAAGAATATATATTGTGACTTTTTGTAAGTTTTCTACTATAAGCCAAAAGATAGCCCTTTTGCTCATAAGTAAATCATTCGCACAAATTAAAATAATATATTCATACTATGAATTTTTTTCCCACCACGAGGTTCTTAGTTTTTATTGAAAAAAGTATATCCATGAATTACCTCTTTTCTAACTGGTAAGATAAGATATTTGAGTGACCAACATAAGTATATCTGGGTTATTTCAACCATTCCAATTCATATATTTACAGTGATGGATATATTGTCTCAATTCCTACTTAATTTGAGTATCGAGAAAGTTGATAAATGTAAAATAAAAATATACAAAACGTTATACCTCTCTATCATCACAATGTCATTCCTCATTTATACAGCAACGAATTCTAAATGAGTTAGATCTGCCCTGTCTGCGAGTCTGAGATATGTACGTAAGTTGTAACAGTTTGAGACGTTTGGCATTGTTAGGTGAATAATTGTTTAAGTGTGTCATTCTTCCAAATTACTCAGCTGAGAGTTACATGTTAGTCCCTTACACGTCAGGAACCTGGCTACATAAGTTTCGACAGATATCTACTGATGATGCAGCACTTGTTAGCCTGGGCGATTTGTTTGGCAATGGATGAATGATTGTGTTAGAGCACTCAAAACATTACCTTTTCAAGAAGTCTTGGTTGAAATACAACACTGTTATTCCAGTTCTTTGTAAAGATCGAAATTTTCGCAGCAAATTGTATAAACTTTACATTTTCGTAATAGTTACGCGTATCACCATTTCGCACTGCGTTGTTATGGAAGCTTTAGACTTGAGCCTCCATAACGTTCTAAGCCAGTCTCGACGGTCGTGTAAGAAGAGACATGCGATTGGTCCACTTCGGCAGTAGTGCCAATGAGAACGTTTGTCTTATACAACGTCAGCAAGTGCGTGGTAACCATGCTGTCTCCAAAACAAGCAGGGAAAATGGCGGCCGTCTGTGATTTTGACATATCCAGTGAAAACATCTGAGTGAAATTGTATAACGTAAAGGTATGTTATTTCATATTCGTTTTCTGTTTAAATTACACTTGATGTCAGAACGCTTCACATACATATAATGCGTATACTTTTACAGTGCATAAAACACCCGTTGTCAAGCAGGCTACTGAATATTTCTCATTGAAAATTCGTGGAAGGTAGACAGATTAACGTGGTTTAGACAGTGTTTTGTTTCAAAATAGTCTGGAGTTATTTTGGAGTTTATAGGAAAATAAAGTGTATATAAAAACCTATTTATTTGGGAACAAGTCACACCTATTAAGTAAGAAGTTATATTAGGCCTAATATTCAAAACGCCTAACGTTCCTATGTCTAACGCATTTATTTGTTTCTATAAATTCATGTGTTTTGACAGATAAGTTTGACTTTTTGAGTGATAGTTGACAACTGCATGGGAACATGTTTTGCAGATTTGCAATATACGTTGCTGTTATAAATTCCATTTTCAGGATCTAGGAAAATTAGCACACAGATTGGCCCACAGATTAATAGTGTAGGTACACATGCATTTTTACAGTCACTATTCCATGCTACTAATACAATTATTTTACGGCCATGGTTATTGCGATTACTCGCTCTATAATGAGGGATGTGGAGCCTCACACAGATTGCATATACTCTGATGATGGCTTGGTTTTTTAAAGTTATATGTTATAAAAATGAGTGAGATGTTTTATGATTGTTCATGTGATTGGCGAAAAAACTATTGGGCATCCCCAAACCCATAACTTGAGGATTGTGTGTTGAAGCTCACATTAAGCAGAAAACTGATGCAGCTTTAATTTTATGTGGCTTATTAATTTAGCATAAATGATGCTCAAAATTTAATTTTAAAGCAACCAAAAAAATTCCAATTGGTACTTGAAAATAGAAGTTTAATAATGGAGTACAACAGCATCATCAATCGCTATACATCAAAACAATAAGAGAACATGTATGTATACAATTGTATCATATGTAGCCTATGACATTTATTGCTGACTTATATAATTTAAACTTTTTCTGTCAAAAACATTTGATTGGAGCCATTGTGAAGGGCCCCAAATCCTCAGTTATTTTAGCCTGCTGGCTAAAAATGTGTCCTAAGGAACTTGTCCACATCTTTACTAAAATCGCGGAAGGTACAGGGGTGGAAATAACCCATTGCCCGACGTTCGAGTCCAGTGTTTTTTTCTGTCGGGCAAGTAAATTTGTATATCACGCTGTACCGGTGTCCAGTTGACTTTCCAATGTTAATAATGTTTGTTTATTTTAAAAATCAACAAGAAAACAGCCGGTATAGTGGAAAAATTATCAGGGCAAGTGATTTTACATGTGCCACTGTACCGGAGTACACTAGCAATTTAAAGTTATTTCCACCCCTTGTGGTAAACATAGCTCACTTAGTAAAAAGTATGGTCTTGGAATTCAGATATTTAAACTATTATGCTTATCAATGTAGTTTGATATGTTGATATATATATATATATATATATATTTGCAGAATTATGTCTGATCAAGAAAAAGGTGAAGTTCCAGGTGAGTCTGCAGACAAGGAGGATTCTCCCCAACAAGAGACTGCTCAGGCAGAGGATGCTCCCCAGGAGACAAACCATGCCCCTGATGAAGCACAAGGAGACACTGCTCCTGTACAGGTGCCTGGAGAATCAGAGAAACCTGAGGAGGGAGGGTCGGCTGGTGTAGAAACAACAGGGGACACCAATGTACCTGTTGATAGTGAGGTTCAGAAGGAAGAAGGAACAACAGAACAGGGTCAGAAGGAAGAAGTGACAGACGAGAGTCAGAAGGAAGAAGCTACAGCAGAAGAGGGTCAAAAGGAAGAAGTAACAGCAGAAGAGGAGGGTCAGAAGGAAGAAGTAACAGCAGAAGAGGGTCAGAAGGAAGAAGTAACAGCAGAAGAGGGTCAGAAGGAAGAAGTAACTGCAGAAGAAGAGGGTCAGAAGGAAGAAGTAACAGTAGAAGAGGGTCAGAAGGAAGAACAGAAGGTTGATGAAGCGGAAAAGACAGAACAGGAACACACTGGAGAAGTAAAGGCTGAAACTGAAAAGGTAACAACTGAACAAAACGATGAAGTCGATGATGATGTGAAGGAGCAGGATAAGCCAGAGCTGGAGGACAAGCCTGAGGTAGAAAGAGCTCCTTCCGTAGCAGAGGTGGGCACTGAGATGAAGAAGACAGAGCCTGACGAGAAGCAAGCAACCCCAGTGCAACCAACTCCTCCGGTGAAGACCAAGATCAACCTTGATGCTACTGCCACAGGTAGAATGTTTATATTACCAAAACATATCTGCATCCCTTTATCAAACGATTTATTCTAAATAAATTTCATGTTATTTTGAAGAGGTCTCCATAGAGTAACTAAATAAGAGAGAGAGAAAAAAAGCATCACAATGCAAGGCTACATATGATACAATTGTATGTTACAGTGAAGTTTGTGTTGATGCCAAGCGGTCAAGTGGTCACTCTGGCATGTACATTGGGTCAGACTCTCCTGCAGCTTAAGGAACATTTTTCCAATGAACTCAAGATGCCGGTTAATCTCATCATGATCATGCATGATGGTAAGTAAACAGAGTACTTATATATCCTACAGTGTACACAGCAATCAGTCATCACTTATTGTTTGATCATTCTATACATCATTCAATGACTGACAGAGGTTTTAGATCACAGTTCTTTAGTTCTTTAATTGATTTGGAATTGGAAGACATTTTTTAAGTATTACACATAGATATGGTACCGCAAGATGTCACCAAAATTGATGGGTAGTAATAGGCTAATGCACAAAAAAGTTGAATATTTATGTGAAACTAAATGCTGAAGTGTGTTTAACCTCATGGGATATCAGAGTTCATAATTAACAGAAGTCTTCTTGTCTGAGGCTAGTTCTATTTCAGATAGACTATTGCTAGCAACATTATTATAGCGAGTACCACATTTAGCATAAGGTTACATTGGCAGTGTTAAACAATAGTGGCATCATGTGGTCATTTGTCAAAGTATTTTTGTTGGTACATTTTACTTTTATCCTTCAACTGACCACTGTTGTGTCTGGTATGCAGGTAAAGGTATAAGCGAGAAGTCAACTCTGGCTGATCTGGGTGTCGGTCCTAATGGCACAGTTCAGCTGGAGATGCAGTCAGCAGATCCTGTCAACACACCCATTAAGTCGTACCGTCCTCGTCAGGAGTATCACATGCCTGATGTCATCACTGTGAGGGTGCAGGGAGGTCAGTGCTTGGTACCATTTGTTGTTCTTGTAGTCATCACTATGGAGTCAGTGTGGACATATATGTCTACTGACCTTGCGAGTCGATATTTCAGCCTCTCATCTTGATTCTCAGGCAACACTTAAAAACAGCTGATTTGAAAGCTTTTTATGTTTGAATGTACACTCAAGTGTAGAAGATACAAGTTGTTAGCCAAAAATGACACTTTGGACATCTTACATGTCACATAGACGCAGACCTGTTGCACAATCTTTCAAAGTGAAATATGGAGTACCAAATATTAATTGTTTTCATACTTTGGTCAATCAGGTGGTTTCCGAAGTTTGCAACTTTTAGATTAAGTGGAATAGGCTCATCAGAAAAATGACAAATGACTATTAGTCATAGTGTATCAATTTTCAAATGACTCTTAGTCATGTAGAAACAGTTTGTCTTATCAAGGCAACTGTCTAGATGTAAATGTGTTTGAAATTCTCCAGATGTAGATGATGGAGATCCCAGAGACATTGTAGTTGAGATTGAACGAGCCACAAAGAAGAAGCCATTCTTGGGAGGATTTCGTCACAAAACAACTGGTGTGGAGTACCACAACGCTTCAGCACAGACAGTCACCAAACCGAGACCTGTGTCTAATATAGAACGCTTCTGTCGGGACACACAGACAGTCCAACAGCATCACCAGCGACAGCAGACCACCAATGACACATCAACACAGATGACAAAGATTGGTGTGTATGTGTCCAATATGCCAGACAAACTTCTCATCCCCGGCCAGTACACGACAGCTGATGACCATCTGGCCATGCTTCTTAGAAAGGTAGGTGTTTGTGTTCTTCCCTTATTCGTTACCTTAAATAAATGGTTGACGTATTCTGTCTGAGTTCTTTTTGTGTAGCCAATGAGGATCATAAATGCATATCAGATGGCTTCATAGAATTGCTTGTTGAGATTGTATGGAATTATGACCCGACAACACGGGACATGGCATTGATCAGTCACTTGTTATTATATTACTGACTTAATGTAGACACACACTTGTTTTATTTCAATCATGAAAAATTCAGACTTACGACTTGAGTCACATTTTACAAGAGAATAGCATGCTTGTTGAATAAAACATACTGTGACTACTTCAATTTTTCATAATATGGACTTGCTAAACAAGTTTTCATTCTAGTTTAGATTCTATTTAACACATTAATTGTATCTCAATTTAAATATGAGAAAATAAGACAAAGAATGCAGTACTTTTAGCAAGAGTTGATGAAAGGGACATTTGATAGAAGAAAACTGCGGCTATTGAGTTCAGAGCATTGCCGAATAAATCTGTGATGAGTCTGAGGTCTAGTGAGTACCGGGACTTGATTTGTGTGAAACATTAATGTGTTTGTTCTAGATCATCATCATCCAGAAGTACTACCGCCGCCGCTGGTTGGCCAAGAGATACGTACACAAGCTGAAACAAGACAAGCAGCGTAGGTTGGAGTGGGAGAAGGAGGAAGAAATCAGGAAGAAGAAAGAGAAGGAAGACAGAATAAAGAAGGAATTTGCAAGACGAATGAATCCAAAGAACAAAGAAGACTTTGATCTTCTCTTTCATGCCTTGGAAAGTAGGTGGAAGACTGATTATTAATTAGTTTAGCAATAGATATTTCTTCATCTCAAACTGTTTCAAAGTAAATTAAATTATTTGGGGGGTTCTGTTGTGCAGAAGTATGAATTTCAAGTGATGGTAGCAGTTGAGACTTTTGACTGGTTAGAATGTGATCCCAGTAAAGGTGGGAGGTTATAAATCTGGTGTCTGCTGCAGAGTGGAGGCAGGAGGAGATAGAGCGCATCAACACCACCCTGGAAGGTGCTGAGAGGAAGGCTGCTCTCTGTATGTTGCTGGACCAGGAGACCCAGCTGTTGGCGGCCATCGACCGGCACAAGCTGGAGGCTGGCACTGAGAACAAGGAAATGCGTATCCAGAGTTTCCTGGAGAAGGTGAGTGCTTTTTCTAGCAGCAGAAGCAGATAGGAAGGTGGGGTAGCTAATATTTGGAAGCTTTCGCAGTCTTTGAGCATCACTTTCATGAGATTTTGATGTTATCATGTGGATTTCTATGAGCTGAACTTACTAGACCAAGCACAATTTTACTAGACACAGGCTTTGGATTAGTGGGTTAAGTCACAGACTGTGGTTGAATATACTAAAGCTAAACATATTACAACATATTATAGTTACTTTATTTGGTGACATATTTTCAACAATTACTACCTATAAATTGTGAAGTCACTTACTGTACCCCTCCTTTTCCCCAAGGTTTGTATCCACACTTTAGCTTTTTACATCACTTTGTAACAATGACACACCCTTCACAGACTTCATAAAGTGTACACAAGTGAGGGGATTGTATGATGATTGTAATCCATTGATTTGTAGGCTGCTGCTCCCAAGAAATGGAAGGGTCATGATGGAAAGCTCACTGAAATGGACACCCCATACACAATTCGAGCACGAGAACTGCGAGATATATACAACAGTATTAACATGAAGTATCTCACTCAAGATGAGCGACTGGATGTCCTTCTCACTCTCAAACACACTGTCAAGGTGAGATCCTGATACATCACAGCACTGAATGCTTTAGATTACCTGAAATATTGAACTTCAAACAAGTTGTCTTTTCATTTGCAAATCATTACTGTGTGTAGCAATAAGATGTCATGAGAGTCTGACAAGAGTGTTCTCAGACCCTATCCAATTACAATAGGCATGGAGTTTGTATCAAAGTTCAGATACAAAACTGAATCTGTAACCTATAGGGAGCATAATGTTCTGTTCCTATTTCATCATGTCTTTGCCAAACCTTTGTTAACATGTATTCAGGTGTATATTAAAGTTACCTTTATCGTGTATTCCATTAGGAGCATGACTGCAAGTTGACACAGGAGATCATCGAACTGATTGACAGAGAAGCTGACCTGTTGATGCGGGGTGTGAAGGAAACAAACTTGGATGGACTGAGAAAAAGAATCTCAACCCTTTTCCTCCAGTACATCAAAACTCCCACTTTCAACCCCGAGTCTGCCAAACTCCTCAAGGTAGACATGCTGTTAATACTGTATACATGTAGTTCATCACTAGAGGACAGCTCCTTCAATTCCTGTATATGATTAATTATTATTGTGGAAGAAATATGGATGATATAGGTAATGCCATCCAAATTATTGATGGATAGATCCTGTGTGTCTTGTTGGGACCCAAGTTAACGACCCCACACATATTGTTGGGTATATGAAAATTGTCATCATATATTATTATGTGCATGTCAACAGTTAAGATCAAATGACTTTAGAATGTAACAGGCATTGTTCACTTCCATCCTGATTGGTCCTTGCACTCATTTCATGTTTGTTGTATTTCTGTATGATGAATTCACTGATAGTTATCTCCCCTGCCACACACAGGTACCCCAAGATCCATCCACTCTCCGCAAGAACATCTACTTCTGTCCAAGCTGCAACAGTTACCTCCCCTCCACCGAGTTCTCCCTGTCCTCCAACTCACGCTATGTTGGCAAGTGTCGCCGCTGTGGCAAGACCGACAATGATGCTCGAGTTCGCCAGGACTTCAGCCATTTCCGCTTCATGCTGAAGTCACTGCGGAAGGCTGAGGAGGGATATGGGGACGGATCCCAGATTGCATTCTTGTTGCAGGTGTGTTTCTATACAATTCATTTAATAATAATGACAATAATAGTAATGAGAGAAACATGCTGGTTTTTTTAATGTAGAGCTGGGTTACCTGTAGGTTTAACGTCCCCAAATTGAATTTAGAACAGAATGTGCTGGCTGATCTCTAATTCAACAGAACACTTTTGCAGTTTAAACATTATGAAATACTGATTTTATGTGATCACATATGAAAAGTGTGAGTTTATTGACAAAATTGTTTACTTTTATTACAGTGTTTGTGTACAAATTGTTATACAGTTGTGAAGCAAGTTGTTTTTTACTGGGTCCACCTTTTCATCCGTTAGCTTCTAAGAAGTACCAATATCCAACAGCACAGTGTGTAATGTATATGTATGGTTGTGTCTGCAGGAAAACGACCTGCAGTACTTGGTGGAGAACATCTGGAACAGCCAGAGCATCCTGAGTGCCTGGGAGGACCTGTATGACCTGATGCTGGTGCGCTGGGACAAGCATGATGAGTGGTCGCCTTGGAACTGTGTGCTTCTTACCAAGGAGGAGGCCTCAGCACATGACAGGCTACACAGTCTAGAAGAGGTAAGAAGGAAACAGCATGAGGGGGAATGTTTACCTGTATTGTCGGTAGAGAAAGAGTTTGTAGTATTTTTCTAGACTTGCTGCCTTAGTTGATGCATGTCAGTGTATTCCAGCTGGGCAGATTGATGCTCACGATGTAAATCATTGGATTGTCTGGTCCAGAAACGATTATTTTATGGCCACCATCATATAAGTGTAATATTATGTAATGTGCAGTGTTAAGCAAACTGGAAACTACACGTCTTGTATTTCAGGGTTACGGCCAAGTGTTCATCCTCAAAGTGAAGCAGAAGCACACACTGGCACGGAACTACTTTTCCCGTCTCCCTGGGATGGCGGAACTCATCAGGAAGAGGACAGGCATGAGGGACATCCAGAGTAACAGAGGACCATCCGTGGCCGGAACAGCGGTCCCAGTACAACAGAAGGCATGATCCTCCATATACACGTCTCTTTGACAGGAATACCAAGCTGTGATATAAGTTTATAAGAGGATCTCACTTTGATGATTGTGTTTATTGCATAGAGGTGGTTTCATGTTGTGCAGATGTCCTTCCAGTGGAACATGTTGACTTTCATTCTTCATATTTCCACCCATGAAAATGATTTGAAAGTAATTGGGGAAGTATATTTTCTAATATTTCACATTATTCATGTATTATTCTGTACATATTTTTACCAGAAAACATTTTGGTGTTATCATGTGTTTTGTCATTAAACTTGGATTATGTACAAGTTAGAATCTGGAATTTTGAACCTGAAAATGAGAACTTTGATCATGATTGAACTTGTATTTCAGAGGTCAATATTCGGTCGATTTTCACTTTCTCTTGATATTAGGTATGACAATTTTTGTGAGTTATGATAAATGAAAACTGTACAGAATGTGAATTAAAGAATTACGTCTTCAAGAGTGTTTTTGTACTAAAAAGTTTCTGGTTCTTTCCATTGATTGCTGCATATTCAATGCTTCCCAACAAGATTCAAGGTGAGAATATGTTCTCAGCAACCTAAGATCGTAGTACTTAGGATGATGATGTGGCTCATAATATCACTCACCTGTCTTGAATATTGACAAGCTGATGTTATTTGGCTAGTATACTGCTGTGTGAATACATCCACATAAAAAAATATTCTGCTTGAAAGATATGCTGGTTATATTTTTTCTGTAATGTCCAACTTGATTTGATTTGAATGTAATTGTCATCATTTATCCTGCTTGTAGGCATGTAATACTGACTTTAAAAATCCTGTACAATCATGGATCAGGGTGCAACAAGCCAGGGGCTCCTTTCACGAAGCAACCTTTACTAAGGTTAACCTTAACTCCCATTCTTTAACCTTGCACTAAGGTTACCTTATTGACTTACGATCACCTTAGTGCTTTGTGAAAGGAGGCCCAGTACTACCAGATCCCACCAACACAGCCAGGTGTAGTCTCCATGCTACCAGTCAGCTGGCCGGTAGTTTATACACTTGTGTCTTGTCGCTGTGAGCTCATGAAACACTGAAATCAAGCTGGATTTTCATCAGTGGGAGCTATATGCTTCAACAGAGTACACTGACACACTTTGTACCTGGGCCCCGTTTCACAAAGCTATCGTAGTTCTACAACTGTCATAAGTCTATGTTACAGTATAAGAGTTACGACCATCATAGTGCTATGATAGCTTTGTGAATCACAGCGCTGGTCCGAAACTGAGGATTGATCTCATACACTGTTCAAATCCACCTGCCATTCAAACATGGTGATACAGTCTCAATGAGATCTGTGCTTGAAAGCTAACTCACATGACCATATTAGATTGAATTTCAGTGACTGTAAAAAGGAAAATATTTAACCAAGTTGACACAGCACTTAGCTCTTTGCTACGTGCCATGCAGGAGAAACCAACACTGTCACATTCGATGTTTTTATTTACAAGGCACATTGTGTCAGCAACACAAAATAAATCTCCAGCTCAACAAGAAGCTGTAACAATTACAATAATAAAACTCTTGACAAAATACATGTCGAGATATACGAGGAGGTACTGTTTCCACGCTTCTGTTTGAGCACTCATTTCAATCCCCGAGTCAACACATGACGGAACCCACAAGTAATTATAACAGTCTCTTTCAGTAAATACCATACTGTGATATGTCAAAATAATCTGCAAGAAATACAGAAATGTCAAAAACAAGACCTTTATGGAATGTCAGGTGAGGTATACTGCTTTGAGAGGAGCATCTTCCCTCATGAACACATCCCCCAAGCTGGTGGTGCCATCCAGGATGAAATGTGGTCCTAAACAAGGCCTCATTTCACAAAGTTATCGTAGCACTACGACTGTTGTAAGTCTATGTTACCATATAGCGGGTACGGCAGTCGTAGCACTACGACAGCTTTCTGAAACGGGGCCCAGAATTATGCTAATTGTCTTCATCATGCTAACTGACTTACTGCAACAGCACTTAATGAGCGAGCTAGACTTGAGAATTGTATTTATCAAGAGACCAAAAGGTTGAAAAACCAAAGGTTTCCTATTTCAGAAAAATATACGGAAAAGTAAACTACCAGTGTGAAAGGCTGCCACCTCTCCTGGACAGTGCTTCTGGTGAGGTTAAACCTAGGCCAGTTTGTCCCATGCCCTGGCTAGATCTCAGGTGGACTGTACATAAAAGGGGGAAGGTTCAGTCTTCAGCCAGATCCCCAGATAGTGAAGGGCTATTATGGCAATGGAGCAAGTCTTTTTTATCATGATAAAGTACATAATTATTACAAAGAATTAAAGAAGGAGGTGAGATATCAGTTTAATGCCCCAAAAAATTTCACATTTTGTTACTGGTCATTTACAAAAAGGAAAAAGTCTTTACACTTATGGATTTGTAAATTCAAACTTTCACAATACCATTAAAGACTACACTGAAGCTTCCCCACTTCATATCAGTGGGGAAGCCTTGTGGTAATAGTGATAGCTTGTCATGCCGAGGGCCTGGGTTCAATTCCCCACATGGGTACAATGTGTGAAGCTCCTTTCTGGTGTCACCTCACTGTGAATAGCATCATAGCACTCACTCACCAAAGTCATCTAAGGGGAAGGTCTGGCTGGAAGAACAAGCCGAAACAAGATCTGGCCTTGGTTAACCTTCCCTACCTTAAGTGATATGGGGAGGTCTGGCCAAGGTAGGGATGAACTGGTCTAGGGAAAGTTTCAGTCCGTTATGACAGCATAAATGCGACCAGTTAAACATACATGTTAGTAAGGGAACCAGTATCTCATGGCACATATTATTGACACGTCAACTGCATCAAAACAAAATATCAGTGTCATAGCATATCACAATGTCTTCAATCTATGTAAGATATGGATTTCGATTATCTAAATAATTTCCATACAGTATATTTCAATACACTATCTTCATCTTGAAGATCATGTAAAATATTTGGCACTTGTTCATTTCAATCGAACAAAAGAAAACAACCATTGTTGTTAGCATCCTATATGTGTTCAATCACACGTGATGAAGGCAAGCATTAACTTGTTGCAGGATTTGATAGAAACATGCGAGTATTCTGTATCTGCTTATTTACCTTTGAAGTCTGTACTACAAGCTGTCCTAAACTACACCACAGAAGCAATGGCTGCTAAAAATCAAACTACTGAACGACCACTGGGGATTCTTGTCATCTCACAATTGTCCAGCATGTCAACAAATTACATAGATGAAACATCAAACCTATTAATACTGGCTTTTCTCAGGTGTGGCGAATAAATATTTATTCTAGAGTTGTCATGATGCATCTGTCTTCTGAGATGATATTTGGCAATTTGCATTAATTTTAAATGAGTAATTTTTGTCAATATCCCCAAACTAGGAAGGAGTTACATACAGAACACACCCCACCCGCTCATCTGTTTCTGAATGCCATGAAACCTTCCCCTCAGAAATCATGAACCATTTACCAGACAACAGCTCAGATAACACTTGTTTGAATATTTCACAACAAAGTTCAATGACTGTCTGAAATTTGAACCATTTCATAATTGAAGGAGCTAACCTAAACTCTCATGTCCTGAAACACTTCCAGAGAGACCATGTGTTGTAAGTTTCATCCTATTCCACTTATACATACTAAAGCTAGAGGTCTATACCGGTTTAGCTTTCAATACAAGCTTAGGTCACTTTTCTAACAGAACGTTCCTAATTATGAAGATCCTGTAATTGTATACTCTTAAAAAAAAGTAGGGGAACTTCATTTTCAATTTACGATTGAAAAATCTGGGAGATATATCAGAGTCAATCAATGTTGATATGATAACGAATATTTTGAGAGTGCATCACCACCTGCACTTTGTTATGATCATATTTGCTTGTACAGTAATGGCTCTTGAAAGATGATTGGTGTATGACGTGAAATTTGCTTGTGTACGATTTTCATTTTCAAACAAAAATCTCAGCTAGAAACAAACACTAACAACTGTGTGATGCAAGATGATTGTCAAACTTAATGGTCTACAGTGATTTATCGACCTTGAAAACAGTCAAAATCAAGAATGACACCACATGTACGTGTATCCCATGCATTGTGTTTAGGGGTGGTGATAAAGACAAATGGTGGTGCATTCAGAAGATGTCTGTCTTTGAAAAGTTTGTCAATGCTTACACTTCCTATCCAAACTGAAAGTTCATGTTCCCCTACTGGTTTTTGTTTGAAGAGTATATATTCTGCTATTTCTGACATGGAGAAGATGTAATGCAGTGTGTAGGAATGCCCTCAGATGGTGGTGTGTTTGCTGTGTCCTACTGTACACTTGTGTTGCTACTACTCATGCAAGACCCTGGTGCAGTCATCACAGATTCATAGAAACAGGAAACAGCACTTAAACAACACAACAACACTTAAACAACACAACAACACTTCCCACCAAGCTTCAACTTTCAAATACTAACCAAAAAACAAACAACTTGACATGTTTCAAGGCACAATGAAAAGTCACCACTGACGTTGTACAAGATAAGCTGTGTCCAACTCCTGTAACAGACAGGTGTGTTGTTCACTACCCTCTACTCCAGGTCAGAGATTCCTGCTGTTTCTTTGTGGCATTAATGATCAGTCTGAATCTCCACATCAAACAAAGACGAGGTACAACATGAGCCTCTTGAGACACACAGAACACTGCTATCAAACAGATACAAGCAACAATACAAGCCCCTTGAGACAAACAGCATTGCTACAAACAGACACATGTTACAACATTAGCCCCTTGAGACAAACAGCATTGCTACAAACAGACACATGGTACAACATTAGCTCCTTGAGACAAACAGCATTGCTACAAACAGACACATGGTACAATGTTGCTACAAACAGACACATGGTACAACATAAGCCCCTTGAGACAAACAGCATTGCTACAAACAGATACATGGTACAATGTTGCTACAAACAGACACATGGTACAACATTAGCCCCTTGAGACAAACAGCATTGCTACAAACAGACACATGGTACAACATTGCTACAAACAGACGCATAGTACAACATTAGCCCCTTGAGACAATCAGCATTGCTACAAATAGACACATGGTACAATGTTGCTACAAACAGACACATGGTACAATGTTGCTACAAACAGACACATGGTACAATGTTGCTACAAACAGACACATGGTACAACATTAGCCCCTTGAGACAATCAGCATTGCTACAAATAGACACATGGTACAATGTTGCTACAAACAGACGCATAGTACAACATTAGCCCGTTGAGACACAAACAACATTGCTACAAACAGACGCATAGTACAACATTAGCCCGTTGAGACACAAACAGCATTGCTACAAACAGACGCATAGTACAACATTAGCCCGTTGAGACACAAACAGCATTGCTGACATGATGAAAACTCAAACAAGGTCTATGATGAACACAGCCAAAGAGCTAGGCTGCTAATCCATTACATGTACTGTTTCCTATTTCTACTATTGTCCAGCAAGCGACAGTCACCACTAGTGTAGGTACTACTCTATTTAAGAAATAACAATTACAACTGAATCACTTTTTCCTAGATTTGCAAATGTCGGAAAGTTAAAATACTTTTTAACAAACACTACTCCATCCCCTGAGATAAACTTTAATTTTCTATCTATCCAAGCATATGGTACAAATGTAGACGATCATCTTCAAAAACAATTCAAAAACAATTTTCTGAAAGTATTAATTTGTCTTAATCAATTATTCCTGCAATAATACATTCATTACCCTTGTATCACAATGTTCCATAAATTACCATACTCTTTGGGAACAGAATACAAAGGACCTTTGTACAGTTTCTAACTAAGAGATGTTACACAGGCTTATACAGACTCCAGCAAGAGATCTCAGGAAATCAAAATCAATGTCATTACTAGTTTTCCATAGTTTTGGCAACACTATTTTGAGTGTATATATATAGAGGGTAATGTCCGAGTAACTCTTCATTCCGTAAAAATAATGCAGCTGAATGGAGAGTTGCAAGGATATTACCTACTTAAAATACGTTCAAAGTATTGGCAATTTAAAAAGCCAAATGTAATGCAAAGAGTATGATGTCGAACAAACTATCAAAGTCTTACATTTGAAACTGGTACACATCGCTCCATTCCTGCTAAATAATGGAGCGAGCAGACAATGGAATGAATCAAATGTAATTTAACAAGGTAGAACATTATGTACAAGTGCCCAGGCTCCTCAACACCACGGTTCCCATTTGGACTTTAGATCAACAACAGTGACTGACAACATGGCAAGACCAATGGAAGAGAGCCCAGATATGATACTGGCCATAGAGTACACACATACAATAAACACAGAAGATCTGTGCAACATCACATACATTAATTCCCTTCTCAAGAGAGTTTCCTTGACAAACTGTAACAGTTAAAGGTTATCAATGAATCAAAGTAGCATACATTTTCAACTGCATCCAATGCCTGCCCAACCAGTGACAGCCATGTCAGTTTTTGCCACAAGCTACCGGTACAACTTGACAGCATCTCAAGCCATCCATGTTTTTCTAGTGTTCCTTACCTCCCACTGCTCCTGAACTACCGTCCATTGAAGGATTACATAGTCCTCATATGTCCACTGCAAGTGTTTTCTTCTTATACTGCATGACATGCTCACTGTAACTGCTGCCATGCACGATGATAGGCTATCACAGGACCCCATTCTTATTGCAATGAGCAATCAAGACATACAAATCATAGCTCCAGTCTTTCCATGTACAGTTACAATATCCCCCCCAAATCTTATTCTTGAAGACATCTATCAAATACTGACATTAATAACACATGCACTGATGATGAATGTTTAACATGTCCCATGTGCAACGCTAAATATCTCTCAATTTGAAAGACCAAAATAGCATATTATTGTGTTTGCATTTCATAAGACAAATTTCATGAAATGTAACAAAACTCATCAAGAAATCACATAATGCCTTGTATGAATATAATGAAAGCATAAAAGAGGTAAATATGAACACAATAAACTGTGGTTCTGAACACTTTGTCTGCAATAATCATGCAAGGTCCCACAAGAATTATGCACATATCTGATATTGGACGGACCCATTTTTGTTTCACCTATGTTGGCAGCCAGGATATCAACGGAGCCAACTGTTCCAGAGTGACGCAGTCAGCTGTGTAAGATAACCTCCCTTAGCTGTGCGGATCAGCTGATCAAGGTTGGACCCAAGATTCCCCCTGATCTGTCAGCACCATATTAGAGTGTGCTGGCTTCACCAAATGACAAACATACCTTTAAGTTGTGTCATATTAGGATCTACCTCAATCTTAGATTGTTACATCAATGTCGCTGGGCTGTTGTTCAAAGTGGTGTTAAAACCTTTTAATCCCCTCACTTGATCTCCCTCAGTCATCCCTAAACACTGGTCATATTCCACAGACACAAACATAGCTTCTGTTCAGTGGTAATGACAGTAAACGTCCATATACTTGACAGGGAATTGTTTCAGTGACAAAGACTGAGATATATGCATACATAATATTTCAAACCAGTTTAAAACACATCACTGATGAAGTTTCCCATTCAGATAATGTACAAGACAGTGTTGAGCATGTCATGGACAACAACAGGCCAACAATAATGTACACATACTGAGAATTACATCCACCTTCGGTATGTACAAGTAATGGCACTTGTAACACAAGTAACATCATCAGTAATCAACATGGTGTCCACTGGGACATATTAGAAGAAAAGATGAACACACATACTGTACTTGCCATGACATGCAAGCTCAGCACTTTAAGAGCGACTCACAGGCTTGGCACGTTATAACCACCTGCCGATTACCTTATACTGTACAACATGTTTGATTATCGACTGATCAGTTTGCAGCTCGATCTGATAATATGTCGCGGTATTTTGTTTTCATGGTATTAAAATGTCTAAGGCGGACTTAGCAGCAGTTATCTAGATACTATACGAAGAAGGCAACAGTGACTTTTCCAGAAATGCCAAGCTGATCGCCGTCAGCACAGCATTCCTTTTTTCTATTTTGGAATAATGCCTGCTCATGATATTCCACAGTGTTTCGTGACTCCTGAATAAGCCATGAAACGCTCCGTTTGCTCTGATGAAAAATCGAGGCGTGGTTTCTTTGAAGCAGACAAAGCCATGTTTCATGCTTATATGTAAACATTTACCATGTGACACCCAAAGGCAGTTTGATTGGCTGTGCCACATGCAATTTGCCGAATAACTACATCAGGCTCTACAAGCTCGCGACACAATCAACAGGGGATTGAGCGGCCGATTTGTACCATTTGCTGAATTCGATTAGTCACTCAGACGATACGAATCTGTCAAATTCGGCATATCGATTCGAGGGGCCGACCCATGTGAGTCCGCCTTTAGACAAATGAGATGGAGAGGTTATGTATACCATGGACAAGCTGCTGCAGCTTTGTATTAGGCACATGTAAGGATCACTTAAACACTGGCACAGAAGTTAGTCGGGGTGCTTAGTGGCCATACTGCTTAATATGGCAAATACAGTACATCAAACAGTTGAATAAATGGAAAGAAACAATTGGTACACCAATGGCCAACCAGCTTCAATTGTCAAAAGTTTCAACTTCCTGACCGCAAACCCATAAAAGCTGAAGACAGATATCAAAATAAATGTTTGAGTTTGCCCGATATAAGGTAAAAGTAAATCTGAACCAACACACATATATGTACATTCCCAACACTGTGCCACTTCAGCTCATGTTCATCTGCACAAGCATATGCTCTGCAGCCTTCATGTTATACACTGGAATATATTGGGCGGTCATCTTGGAAAAAATAACACAATACTGATATTATATGACCAACAAATCTGAGTCTCCTGATTCATCATTTTTCACAATCCATGATGAAAACCCAAACAGCACCCTCACAGCAATGAAGCCCCACAACTGTTGCCATGACACCGACACAGGATCTAACACCTGCTCATTACCAAGGTGTCTGCTGGCACCGACACAGGATCTAACACCTGCTCATTACCAAGGTGTCTGCTGGCCTCGACACAGGATATAACACCTCCTCATTACCAAGGTGTCTGCTTGCACCGACACAGGATCTAACACCTGCTCATTACCAAGGTGTCTGCTGGCACCGACACTCATGTCCCCACACTGAACAAAACTTGTGTGTACAGTTCATTATCTGGCTGTCATTCAAAACAAAAATCCATTTCATAGATCTCTCAACAACAGCATATGTATACCTGGAAATAATAATAATTATGCAAACATGACTCTTCTGAATTCTCCAAGCAAATCTAATATCTGGGACATCTTGTTCTATTTATGTTATATACAACTTATGAACAGTATGTTCACACTATCATACAAATTACGGGACTTCTTAATAAAGATAAGAAAGTCATGATTTGGGTTATAGTGACGAAGTGTTCGAATAAAAGTCTCTTCTCACTTGACGGTTCTATTCACTGTCACTAAAGGACCATCCGAGAAATACCAAATAATGTCACATGACTAAAATCCTTACATTCTGTTACACAACAATTCAAATTTGTTCATGTTCTAAATGAGGAGAAAGAAACGGGTCATTACTTTAACAATATCATCTGTAACTAATATCTAAATGTGTTTGAATTAATTTGTGGTGCAAAGGTCACAGAGACATAATAATGGCAGTATTATCAATGGCTAATCAAAACATAATGATATTCAAGAAACTTCAGCACAGAAATATCAAATACATAATTAAGTCTTTGAACTGGCATAAATAACCAAGAACAACTTTTAGTGACCTTGACCTATACAAAGGTCAGGCCAAACCTACAGAGTTGTAGGACACATCCTGTTATGTCTATGGATTAGGTTCCATTTGATCATGTAAAGAAAGTTTTCAGAATGAAAGACATAAATAAATAGTCTGACTTAACTGAAATGGACTTTAGTATTTACAGACTATATGATGGAGCTGGGCCCTTATTCTCGAAACGTTCGTAGCCCTAAGAATTCTTAACTTTGATCGTAGCCAGTGTGTTAAGAATGGGCTTAAGAAGTTGGTAGAGCTATGGACGTTTCGAGAATAGCTAGCCTGATTATCAAAATTCCAAGATGTCAGAAAGATGGTATCAAAATGATACCATTTCAAACAAAAGATTAAAGCAACTTGTCTTCTGAAGGAAATCTGATTGAAACATTTAGATCATAAATATCCATTTCGTTTGTTGACATTTACAAACTCTTGCTGTATGTGTGTGAGACTAGCACTGGAACTGGGCACCTCTGGTGGAATGAACTGAAGAGGGCGAGAATGTCCAAGATGGTCCAACTCCAGGGTATATGTGCTGCCTGCATCAATGCCCTCAGACTGGACATTGCAGCACTGTCCAAAGTCAGAGGGCTGGTCATGACAACATTTCTGATCCCCACGATGCTTGTGACCTGGAGGGTTATTGTAACACCTGTTTTGGCAGCAGGCACCACTGTGGAATGGTGCCACTGATCCCGAATCATATCCACTTGAGGTTGTATTGGCATTGCACCCCATTAGGGGAGATAACTGTGTTTGGTCACTAAAGTTCTGATGGCGAGGATTGGTGAACATGTAACCATGGCAATGGCATTCATTGGAACATGGCACCATGCTTCCATGGCAACTGTCTGTACTACCAAAGTCTTGTGAAGTCATGTTGTTGCAAAGTGATGATGAGATCATTGGCTCTGCTTCATGGAACTCTCCTGTGTACACTCGACCATAGAGCTGATGAATGTACATGCAGAGATCGTGAGTTTCTTCCTCACTTGGCAGACTCAAGTTTTGCATTTCTCCACCAGTCAGTCTGTAGACAAGAGTATCAAAGTGGTTGAGGCACAGATTCCCACTGGCTTCTTCTTCAATCAGACCAATGATGTTCTTGACCTGGTATCTCTCGGGATCATCGAACGTAACTGGTACAGAGACGATGGACTGACCGGCCAGGTTGAGCATGTTCAGCCTGTGTAGGGCGTAGCGAGCAACATCCCCATATGGGCTGTGGTCATCCAAAGTATCACCCTCTCCTATCATCTCCATCAGACTCTGGGAATAGTAGATCAACACAACACTTGTCTTCAGTCTGTCATTGATCCAGCTGAACTTATCTTGATAAAGCTCCTCCCTCTGGTCGTCATAAGACTGGATGTTGAAACCGTACTTGGTGTCCAGGATGTGTATGTGCTCGGTGACAGCCTGCGTGTATTCAGGACTCTCAGGGTAGTAGATGGGAAACACACGGTTACAACCTGCAAAACAAGAAGTCTCTCATCAACTGCTCAGGCAATTGGCCCCCTTAAACTCTTCATCTCATTCCACAGAGATCTTCATTAGATTTATTACAAGGCAGGAATAGGTCAGAAAATCATTTAATTTAGATACCTATCTATCATTACAAAGCTACACAGAAGATCAATTGATTTCATGAAAGGAAATATGGACAGCATAAAGATGCCAACACATGAAGATATCAACACATGGAGATATCAACACATCAAGATATGAACAGATGAAGATATGAACAGATGAAGATATCAACAGATGAAGATACCAACAGATGAAGATATGAACAGATGAAGATATCAACACATGAAGATATCAACAGATGAAGATATCAACACATGAAGATATTAACAGATGAAGATATCAACAGGTGAAGATACCAACACATGAAGATACCAACACATGAAGATACCAACACATGAAGATATCAACAGATGAATATATCAACAGATGAAGATACCAACACATGAAGATATCAACAGATGAAGATATCAACAGATGAAGATACCAACACATGAAGATACCAACACATGAAGATATCAACACATGAAGATATCAACACATGAAGAAACCAACACATCAAGATACCAACACATGAAGATATCAACACATGAATATATCAACACATGAAGATATCAACAGATGAAGATATCAACACATGAAGATATCAACACATGAAGATATCAACAGATGAAGATATCAACAGATGAAGATACCAACACATGAAGATATCAACACATGAAGATATCAACAGATGAAGATACCAACACATGAAGATATCAACAGATGAAGATATCAACAGATGAAGATACCAACACATGAAGATATCAACACATGGATATATCAACACATGAAGATATCAACACATGAAGATATCAACAGATGAAGATACCAACACATGAAAACATCAACAGATAAAGATACACGAACACATGAAGATACCAACACATGAAAACATCAACAGATGAAGATACCAACACATGAAGATACCAACACATGAAAACATCAACAGATGAAAACATCAACAGATGAAGATACCAACACATCAAGATACCAACAGATGAAAACATCAACAGATGAAGATACCAACACATCAAGATACCAACACATGAAAACATCAACAGATGAAGATACCAACACATCAAGATATCAACACATGGAGATATCAACACATGAAGATACCAACACATCAAGATATCAACACATGAAGAATCAACATATGAAGATATCAACACACATGAAGATAACAGATGAAGATACCAACAGATGAAGATATCAACACATGAAGATATCAACAGACAGATACCAACACATCACGATATCAACACAGAGAATCAACAGATGAAGATACCAACAGAAAAGATCAACAGATGAAGATATCAACACATGAAGATACCAACAGATGAAGATACCAACACATGAAGATATCAACACATGGAGATATCAACAGATGAAGATACCAACACATCAAGATATCAACACATGGAGATATCAACAGATGAAGATACCAACACATGAAAACATCAACAGATGAAAGTATCAACACATGAAGATATGAACAGATGAAGATACCAACACATGAAGATATCAACAGATGAAGATACCAACACATCAACACATGGAGATATCAACAGATGAAGATATCAACAGATGAAGATACCAACACATGAAAACATCAACAGATGAAAGTATCAACACATGAAGATATGAACAGATGAAGACATGAAGACATCAACACATGAAGGTATGAACAGATGAAGATACCAACACATGAACACATCAACACATAAAGGTTTGAACAATAATAAAGCATACAACTTAAAGGACGACAACTTTTTGTTTATTGCATAAAGCAACATTTCTGTGTAGATTGTTACACTGTTATGATGCTGTAAGTGGCTACAACCAACTGATGGTATGTAGTACCCTTAGTCCGGGCTGATCAAAGGTTTTGGGTTCCAAAAGTTTTCTTTTTGTGAAGTCCTGATTCTTGGGGGACAGGAATTTGTCCACACTTAGAGATAATTGAAATGGACATCATGGAGAGAGAGACAGACATTAAGATTGCAACAAATGGTAAAAGAGACACTTAGAGAAAGAGACACAGATCGAGACAAACACACAGTGATAGAGACCAATAGAGAGATTAACATGAAGAGAGACACACACAGCGACAGATCCATAGAGAGACGAATATGAAGAGAGGCACACACAGCGACAGAGATTCATAGAGAGAAACATGAAGAGAGACACACACAGCGACAGAGATCCATAGAGAGAAACATGAAGAGAGACACACACAGCGACAGAGATCCATAGAGAGAAACATGAAGAGAGACACACACAGCGACAGAGATCCATAGGGAGAAACATGCAGAGAGACACACACAGTGACAGAGATCCATAGAGAGAAACATGCAGAGAGACACACACAGTGACAGAGATTCATAGAGAGAAACATGAAGAGAGAGACACACACAGCGACAGAGATCCATAGAGAGAAACATGAAGAGAGACACACACACACAGATTCATGACAGAGATTCATAGAGAGAAACATGAAAGAGAGACACACACAGCGACAGAGATCCATAGATAGAAACATGCAGAGAGACACACACAGTGACAGAGATCCATAGGAGAGAGAAACATGAAGAGAGACACACACAGCAGAGACAGAGATCCATAGAGAGAAACATGAAGAGACACACACACAGTGACAGAGGTCCATAGATAGAAACATGAAGAGAGACACACACACACAGTGACAGAGATCCATAGAGAGAAACATGAAGAGAGACACAGTGACAGATCTATAGAGAGAAACATGAAAAAGAGACACACACAGACAGAG